TACAGCGTGTCGTAACAACCGCGACAATAAATAAACACACATATAGAGGATAACTTTTTAAAATTGTATTAAACATTTACATTCTTTAAACATCTATATTTACCGAGTTATTAAATTTTCCAAAACAAACAACTTTAGAACACCCTTACGTATAAAACTTTAACGTAAGTTCCCTTGTGAAGGTCACAAAGCACATAAATGGGTTGAATGAATTTAAGAGACAAAACATATTACTTATAGAAGGGAAGGCTTGTAATGCGACGCTGTGGCAACGAATGTAGTCTCTGAATGTATGAATCAGTCAGTTGTAGTTGTGTAGGATGTTACAAATATTGTTTCTTTTTTACTTAATTAGTTTGTTTTAAAAATATTTTTTTTATCATTATAGTTTTTTTTTTGTATTTTTTATGATTATCAAACGATTTTTTTATGATTATTAAACGTAGTGATTACATTCTCTTTGATGATTATTGGCAAGTAGCGTTAAGGCCCATTTACATGGTGCCAGTTTCTTGCCTGTTGTATACAATTAAATTGAAGCAATAAATGAGTTGCATGGTCTAAACAACAAATGGTCTAAACAATTATTGCGCGCAATTAATTGCATTCAATTATTGTTCTTGTATGTACAAGAAAATGGCATCGTGTAAATGGGCCTTTATACTTGTGTTCATTTATTGGCGTGGTTGTAACGACACGCTGTATATTGCCATTTTAATTTGAGAATCTAATGTTTGATGACTGAACTCAAAAAGAAATGTGTTTGCATTAGACAGAATATTTGTCCTCACTCTTGGTTGTTGATCAAAGACAAATTACTCATCTGCCCTGCTTATTTCCCTTGAGAACAAACTGCCAGTAATCACCTAAAAAAAATCATTTTCAATGTAAAACAAACGACAGCAGAAAGAATATACATTTATTGATTACTGAAATATCACAAATGACATAAGATAATTTATACAATAGTCATAATTGATCCCGAAACAATTTCCATTTTATATGCTAACAATTAAATACTATTTAAATATAGATATCGTCAAATTTGAATAGCTCTACAAGCGTGTGGACTCCAGTTTGATACAGGGGTCCAACATGTTTGGTTGTTTTACCCCCATCATGGTGGTTTAAATGTTTAACTGGCGCCTGATGTTACGGTACTCGGTGGTAAATATTGCCGTCGGCATTTAGAAAGAGTCGATCGGCTAATTTCCGCTTCGTATAGCGTTATCTCTGTCGCCCCGTTAGTGCTTCGTGCGACAGAGATAACGCTATACGAAGCGGAAATTAGTGAACCGTCTCTTTCCAAAAGCCGATTTGCAATATTTACCGCAGACCACTACGTTCGCTTCTTCATAGAGAGCGAGAGAAAACAAGACACATACATTTTCTACATGTTTTAAAGACACATACTCTCATCTTACGTTTATTGAAAGAAAATTATAACACAATTCGCATAATAAAAACCCTAGTATATCGTTACTTATTAAAATATTTTTATTTTAAAATCATAATAGAACCACTGTCCGCTTTCATTTAATTTCCATACATCACACTAAAGTTAAAAGTATTCTCAAAAGCGTAAGAAATTATAAATCGCTGACATTAAGCAATGGTGAATAACATGGTTTAAACAAATCAACAAAGAGACGGTAACTTTTATATTACACATTTTTGGTGTTTGATATCTTAATGTAAAATGTATGCAGCATTAGTACACAGTTGTCGGTAAACCTTTGGCATTTTATTTCCTGTTTCGTCTGTAACGGTTATAATTTTAACTTCCTAAGTTTTTAAACTGGTCAGCTAAAGTGTTCGAAATTTAAATTTATACAACAAATTTACAAACAGCACTGAATTGTATAAAAGTTCTCCCGTTCGACTTTGTTATGCAACGAACTTTAACATGTTTATTCCAAACGTAGTGCCTTATTGGCTGTCCCTGTCACACAAACGTATATGTACGAACCATTAAGATAGTTTTTCATGGCAGATTTCCTAGTAGAGTTTTTTCCAATTAAACGGTTTGAGTTAACAGTTACTTGTTCTTAACCAAATTTAGGACAATCTCTCTTTGGCAAAACAAAAAAGATCACACATTTACGGGACATTATTAATTCAAAATTACAAAATGAAACTATTTTTACGAATTTCTCGAGTATTCGTAATTCGCCATTTTAAGCCTGAATTTTTCGAAACGTCGCGTAAATTTAAAAACGAACGCTACAAGCCCGTAAAAAAGAGATTCATTTAGTAATGTTGGTGTCAAGAAATCATAATAAAAGGTCATAGGAGTTTTACAATTCCTAGGCGCCACAGTTACTGTCTAAGATCACGATATGTTATAATTAATAATAAAAATACTTTCACTGCGTAAAACCCACGTGATATGTAAACACCTTACGAAAATACGTTATAAAATAAACTCCATATAAATTTGTAGTAGCTAAAACCTTAGCTTGCAGCAGAGGGTACAATCACTATGTACCAAAACATTACAGCTATATTTATATACTACCTTACACTTCAAGTAACTTAATTAACTGACAAAGGAAAAAAGCATTATATATTAAAATCGAACATCCAGATATTTGTATGACAGGTGTGTTATTACTTACAATAAACACGTTAAGTGCTAGTTAACACATAAACACTCAAGTGCGTTATTACTCTCAATAACGCCCGGTTTCTGAAGCACTGATCATCGTAGATGTTAACTAATCAGCTGTCAAATGGCTTTTCAAATATCATAAGCCAAAAGGATGGTTAGTCTTTGAATTGATCATTCGGATCATTGAGAAAATCATTCTGGGCAATTCAGGGAGTCAACCATCCTTTTGTCAAATAAAATGAAATTTGAAAATCCAGCTGATTAGTTGACATCTACGACGATCGGCGTATCAGAAACCGGACGTAAGTGTACACACTGCGTTAACACACAAACACTCAAGCATTCCACCCATTACCAGGGATAACGGTATAAAAAAGCTCGGATTTCCGACGTGGTACAGTAGAGGTATTCGCTCAGAGGTGAACCCACGGGAATCTCAGTTTGCGAGGCCACTAGGATGGTTCAAGTCGACGAAACGGCGTCAAATAAAAGTGGAATCAACATTACAAATTCCAACCGGACTATGTCGCTGAGTGTCCTCTGCACTTAGCTGTGGTCTTTTAGAATGAAATATTGTGCTAAAGGGATTTGCAGTTTCCGCGATCTTCCAGCACCGCTTCTTTTTATTCCCATACACGTCCCACTACGTCCATACACGTCCATCCACGGGTGTGGAGGGACGTGTCCACGTTCATAGACCATAAGTCATCATCGCTTGCGCACAAAGTAACATCAGATAATCGCTAAAATGCATCAACGAGTCACTCAATATCATAATCTATTCTAAAATGTATTATACGGGTAAAACTTAAATGCAATATAGTGAAATTCGCTCTTAGGGTTGTGCGGATGCGCTTTCGAGTTAATAAATAGGGTTGTCAATTAATAGAGCCATTTAAAATAAAACACGTTACGAAATCCGAATAGACACGTTCTTAACTGAACGCCAACATCTAGAGAAAGATAGAGAGATCGATTTAGTGTGGGGCGCGAAAGAGACGGCAATACTTTCCCCATTCGTGACTTATAAAAAATTTCTTACCACGATTCGAACGAACTTCAGAGACGCATTCAAGTTTTACTGCTTACGATAAGAGTATATTATTATTATACGTTATTGTTAGTACACTAACTATTTGCAATGCTGCCATACTGCACATCGCATAAATTGCTTTAAAAAGAACGTCAAACGTTCAAATATACTTAATACAGAAGAATACTTCACACATGAACCTAAGACCACTAAGAGAAATAATATACATCTGAGAAATTAGTCAATTATCCATTAGTCGGTTGAAAACAGTTGAAACAAAAACTCTCATTTAAGCTATGAATATAAGCGACAGATGAGGCATTTAATGTGACAAGTATTAATGATATATGTTTTGGGAATGTCACTGTATGAATATGTATCATCTCATTCGGGGATAAATGGCGTCAGAACTAGTGATCTGAATTGACTTAGTCCTGAAAACTGTCACGAATATTTATATGTAGTGATTATTTTTTTGGTCATTTGTACATCATATAATAGTCAGAAATAACAGATTATAGTTTAGAATATAATTATAGAAACACACCGTAAGTCATGTACATTATAAATGAACAAATATCGATGGATGAATGATTTTTTACTTATGCCTTATTTGTAACAGTTACAAGTGAAAATATAACACTTGTTGCGTATCGATTTTTTAGAAAAATGAATCAATTATAACTCACGATGACACCCATTAATTTTAAAAGTTAACAAAATTCTACACAAATGTCAAATTCTCGCATAACGTTTATTGTACATTTAATTCTTAAAGAAAATAAATAATACGTCACATTTAAAAAAAAAAATCGCAGTGAGTTATTTTCCAGTCTTGTGCATAAAAGTCAATCTCCAAAAATGTAGTCAGCAAAAAAAATTAAACAAATCCTTATACATTTGTAAGAATATGTTTTAAACCATCAAATAATTATTAAAATATACTTAATCGAAGTGTCAGGGAAGGAAAAACTAGAAAACGCTATAGTTAAACAATAAAAACTAAAAATTACGGAATAATTAATAATCGTAAACTCGAAAAAACACTTAAAAATTGTTATGATGCTAAGTTTGAAAGTTTCATATAGATTTAATCCACATTAAGTAGATAAATGTGCTACCATGTATACGGTCATAGAAAATATGTTTTTTTTAATATGGCGTTCCCCATAGACAACACATAGTGTATATTTCCAATAATATTTTCATTACAATACAATGGTTACACGTCAATTATGGTCATGACATTTTGAAATGCGACCAATACTCGTGTAATAAAATTGAATACATCTAAAAATTTACGACGGACAGACAAATCGACGGCAACTCGTGTCCTCGAATAATACTCGTGTCCTATAGGGCGGTGGACGTGACGGATTTCAGACCTCGCACCAATATCGTGGGGCAGAGGTCCTTGGTGAGCTCGTCTAGTACCTGCGATTGATTAAAAATCATAATTTATCGTTTAGAGCAAGGAGCAACGCGCGGCCCCATAAACATATTTATGCGGCCCGCCAAGCATTTCTAAAATTGAATTTATTTTATCGAATCTCCCCCATCAGTATAGTGTTGTAAAATTAATTATAATAAAATGGTATTGCATACTGAACCGAAATGTTTTTTGGTCGTTTTTCTCTTCTTTTCTTGTTTGTTTTTACCTTGCATTAAAATTTGTATATGAAATCTTTACTTTTTTTTTTTTTTTAATTTTATATTTTTTATTCTCATATTTATTATAAATAAAGTTTCGTAACTTATTATGTGCGGCCCGTCAAAAAATTTGAAATTTAAATTGGCCCATTGATTGAAAAGGTTGCTCATCCCTGGTTTAGAGCAATGGAGACATCTCTCGTTACAAATATTCATTGGTAAGGTATTGTATGTCGTAAAGGGCGCACACTAGTTGGCGCCTAGCATTGCCAAAAATGAAACCATAGATAGATGCCAATATCACAAAAATTTAGAATTTAAGTCCTAATCATTTCGAATCGTTCAGGCCCTCTTGTGCGCAAAGACAGGGAAAGAAATAGAGGGACCGGAATCCAACGGGCGTTTCTAATGTCCACCAGCGGATATCATTTAACATCAGGTGATCCGTCGGATCGCTCGGCACCTTCTCACATAAAAAAGTACAAGTGAGAAAAGTATGCGAGTACACACGCTCCTTTTAAATGAAGGGGGAGTGGGCGTGAACATCAGGCGAACCGCCTGTCCGCTTTCAGAAAAAAACGTAATGCTTTATTTGAAAAATTTGGAATTGTTGGTAAAAGCCAAGTTGCTATCGTTTGCCGTGGCATTTATTTCGCGCTTAGTGAGTGATATATAAAAAAATATTTAAAAAAAAATAAACTCCCACCTCCCACCGATCTTCTGTGAGGTCGTGGTACTTACCCGGACGAGCCTGCTCATACGTGTGGCCATATCGTACCCAAAAATCCCTCCCACCGTCAGGTAGTGTAGTGATAGCTCCGCTGTGTAGTGATAGCTCAGTGTCCGGGCGCTCGCCTAAATTCAGTCTACTCGAACAAGTTCGATCCCCAGGTGTCGGTACCAATGATACTGAGAATTTTAAGTGCTCAGCGGTGAAGGATCTAGGAACATCGACAGGAAACCTGCGCACTATCGATGACAAGATGGCAACAACAAAAAAGTATTTCGGAGACACGCGAAGTCCGCCAATCCGCGGTGGGCCCCGCCGCGATACCGTCGGCGCGGAGGCCTTGTCCAGCAGTGGGACGCGCGGCCGTGGGCGCACCTTGAGGTAGTGGGCGCACGGCTGGTCGTCGGCGGGCGAGGGCTGCGCCGGCAGCGCGGGCGGCCGAGGCAGCTGCACGAACGCCACGGCCGTGCCCTCTGCGCAGCGAGCGCGCATCAGGCCGTTGACCCTTAACACGCAAGCGGGTTACGTTACGATGCACACATTCTGTGTGTGTGTGTGTGTGTGTGTGTGGGGTATGTGGGGGTCCCGGTCAGAAACGGTTGCCCACTGGGAAACCAACGCCGCACCCGTCTCTGCCGCGGGGAGGCGTGGACGCAATCTTCCGCGACTGTGGCCTATGTATATGCTGAGGGGGCGCGAAATTGGCACAGCCCCCGTCACGAGCCCCATATAGAGCGGCAGACACCCCCATGCCTGCCGCTCGGAGTATCAATGTCAGGGGGATGGTGCAAACCCTCGTCGTGATCTCGATTGCCGTCGTCACCATCCTCATTATCGTGCGCAACCTTGTCATCATTATCAACGATATTGTCATCACCATCATCATTGTACGCACCCTCATCATCATGATTGCCGTCGACCCCATTATCATTAAGGTGCATACCGTCATAGTGATGATTGACGCCCGTTTTCATCATCATCATTGTGCGCACCCTCGTCGTTATAGTTATTGCGTCTCTATCTTCATCATACTTATCATCATCGTTATGAACATTGTTGTCATGAACACGTTCATTGTTTTCACTCACAATGTAATCTCAATCAATATTGCCGATATCATTGCGTTACCGAAAGAAAGAAAGTCAACGTCAGCACAAACATTAATCGAACCCCAATACTCACTTTTGCAGATAGCTCAGGGGCACCCTGCTGTATATCGTGCTATCCTCCGAGTCCTCATCCCACCGACTTGCATCTTCGAGAACTGGCCAATCTGTCACCTGCAAACGCAAAATATAACACACCCATCACAAAAATCAATTATTTTTTAAAGTTTTTTTTATAGTGCTAATCTCTGCACTTAAGATTTAACATTAAAACATGTAGAAAAAGTACGAAAAGATTGTGGCCACTGTCGGAATTTTTCTACATGTTTTAATGTTCAATCTTAAGTGCAGAGATTAGCACTATAAAAAACGTAAAAATTTATAAAAGCAATGGCGACATCTCTCGTTCGAATTATCGTTGTAAAACGATATTCGAAATTGTTTGTATGCTGGAAAGGATATAACAATAGATGCGCCATGCATCACTTCAAATGGTAAATAACAATGTAGAAAGATGGCGTTAAGATTTTCGTCGCTGTGGCAATCAGCCGTTTAGCTCAGTGGCTAGAGCGTCAGGCCGCGAATGCCGAAGACGTGGATTCGATTCCCACAGCGGCGACAATCTTTTCGTACTTTTTCTACATGTTTTAATGTTATAGTGATTTCTATTTCGCTGGTTAGGTTAAAAGTAAAGTAACAGCCTATCTTATGTCCCACTGCTGGGCGAAAGCCTGCTCTGTAAAACGGTGATAGGGCATAGTTTACCATACGCGAGCGCACAGCGGATTGGCAGACTTCAGATGTTTTCGATTTTTTTGTTATTACTTCGAAAATGTGCAGTTTGCCTCACGTTGCTTTCGTTCACTGCTAAATAAGTGATGAGCCAGCACTTAAAATAGTCAGTTCCAATTCCATTGGTACCGACATCGGGAATTGCTCTTGAACTCAGGTTGCTCGATGTGATAAAAAGCCGTTTTACTTGTGATATCCCTGACCACCCCATTGCGGATACTACTTCGAATCTATCTATCCATCTAATCTATCTATCTAATCTATCTATCCATCCTACACCGTGGCAACGTTGAATCGAAGTCTTACGCAATGTATCGTGGCGTCGATCCTGAGGAGGGTCAGCAGGTGTTCCAGACGGGAGCGGAGGTCCGGACCGCTTTCGACGACGCCTGCGACAACCACATTGTTATTGAAGTAAGCTTCAGCACCGGAGACGTTGGGGCCTTGTAATAAAGCTACACTCGATAGTTTCTAGTATTTACGCGATTACACATTATAAATGAAACTAATTTTTACGAATCTGTCGCGTTTATTTTCAATTTTATGATCATGAACGCTCTAAAGAGTTCGAAAAATGTTGCTGACGTCGAAGAGTATGACGATAGGGGTGTGCACGATAATGAGGACGGTGACGACGGCAATCGAGATGACGACGAGGGTTTGCACCGTCCCGCCGATAGTGAGACTCCGAGCGGCAGGCATGGGGGCGTCTGCCGCTCAATATGCCAATTCTGCGCCGGCGCAGCATATCCATAGGCCATAGTAAAAATTAGTTTCATTTATAAAGAACTACACTCGTCGAAATCCGTAAAACCATAAGAATTTGCTATTAAATGAATAGCAAACGGCAAATCGCCGTTGCAAGGAGCCAGATAGAGAGTGTATTTGAGTGTATAGATTTTGGGTGTTGGAAAGAGTAGGAGGCGTGGAACAGATTAATCGGCGTAGGACAGTTTTAGGGCGTGGGACTATATGGGGAGTGTTGGATAATTTGGAGAGTGCGAGATAGATTAGGGGATGTGAGACAGATTGAATGAAGGAATGAGTGAATGCACACCAAAAATAAAACAAACAAAAATTAATAACTGAATGTAGAAGTAATGGGTACAATGGGCGACCTTATTACTAAGAGTAATTTCTTCCAGGCAACTTTTAGGCAGATTAGAGGGTGCGGGACAATTTAGGAGGCGTGGGACAGTTCAGGGGGCGTGGGACAGTTCAGGGTGCGTGGGACAGTTCAGGGGGCGTAGGACAGTTTAGGGGGCGTGTGACAGGTTAGGGATGTGTGACAGGTGCGGGTGCGTGGGACATGTTAGGGGGCATGGGACAGTTTAGGGGGCGTCTGACAAGTGCGGGGGCGTGGGACAGGTGCGGGGGGCGTGGGACAATTTAGGGGGCGTAGGGCAGTTTAGGGGGCGTAGGGCAGTTTAGGGGGCGTAGGGCAGTTTAGGGGGCGTGGGAATGGATTAGGAGGCGCGGGCAGGATTGGAGAGGGCTCACCCGGCGGGGGCCCGTCCGGCACGTGCACGCGCAGGCGCAGGTGCTGCCAGCCACGCGCCGAGCGCACCACGGCGGCCAGCTGCAGCGCGAACAGCGCGCGCACGCTGAACGCCTCCTCGCGCGACGCGTGCAGCGGCCCCACCGGCCACACGTCGATGAACTTCAGCCGGGGCGAACGCCTGCCGGGGACGGTTAAGGTGGGGCCACGCAACTGTTGCACGAATGGGCAGCTCCCACGGGGCAACTGCCACGACCTCACAGAAGGCCGGCGTTAATTGGGAGTGTTATACTTCTGCGTTGCGTCCGGTGAGTGAGGTGGCTTAAAAGGTCACAAAGCATCTGCTACCCTATGTGTTGCAACTATCCATGGGCGGCGATTATCACTTAACATCAGGTGAAACGCCCGCTCGCTTCCCACTTTCTCGCATAAAAGGAAGACTTACAAGGAAGAATAATTAATAATTTATTGTATATACCACTTTTGTAATATTATTTGTGTAACGTAATGTTCAACATTTAAAATTGAGTAGCTGCGAGTTACATATCATATAAAAACTGTCACTTTTATACCTAAAAAGCTGCAATAACTTAGACCCTAAACCGCGCCATCGTAATATGCCAATAAAATGACAGCGTTGAAAGTTGTGCAAGCAGAAGCGAAAACCTACTGTATCACCAACTGTTAGCAATGACACTCCCAACTCCATCGACTCTGAGGGTTCCGGGGCTTTTATATGGCGACTCCAACGAGCACACCTTCCACATCAACGATGTTTTAATAAAGATGGCGCATGTCCATACTGCGCGGCGTTTAAACATTTTTCCGCCTCACATTACATTAAATATATATTGAATGTGACAGATGATATAGAACTTACGATACGGAAAGAGATTTCAATCTAATTATTACTATACACTTACGCGCGCTTTCTGAAACACTGATCATCGTAAATGTCATTCTGATCATTAAGAAGATCATTCTGGTCAATTCAGAGAGTTTAACCATCCCTCGACATCTATGATGATAAGTGTGTCAGAAAGCGGGCGTTAGTGTAGTATACACTTAACTTAGTGCCTCAGTGTCGGCACGCTAGTGTCGCATCCACCTCGTACTTGCGCATAGCGTGATCGTTTTACCTCTCGACGGCGGCCATGTCGAGCGCGTGGAAGTGGCGGCAGAGGCACAGGTTCCTGTTGACGCAGAGCACGTCGCTCAGCACGCGCACGTACTCGGCGCGCGTGGGCCGCTCGCGCTCGCCGCGCCGCCACAGCGCCGGCCCGCCCTCCGCCAGCTCGAACTCGTCCGTGCGGTACGGCGACTGCGGGCTGCCGCAGGGGTTAGCCTATCGCCGCCGCTCTACACTACTATGCGGAGGCCGCATTACCGTCAATGCGGCATTTCAATCGATTTACTTATTGCTGACTATAAGGAATTCTATTAGGGATGACATCCAATCTAACGGCCCGCCCTCCGCCAGCTCGAACTCGTCCGTGCGGTACGGCGACTGCGGGCTGCCGCAGGGGTTAGCCTATCGCCCGCGCTCTACACTACTATGCGGAGGCCGCATTACCGTCAATGCGGCATTTCAATCGATTTACTTATTGCTGACTATAAGGAATTCTATTAGGGATGACATCCAATCTAACGGCCCGCCCTCCGCCAGCTCGAACTCGTCCGTGCGGTACGGCGACTGCGGGCTGCCGCAGGGGTTAGCCTATCGCCGCCGCTCTACACTACTATGCACTATTACCGTCAATGCGGATTTCAATCGATTTACCTGACTATAAGGAATTCTATTAGGGATGACATCCAATCTAACGGCCCGCCCTCCGCCAGCTCGAACTCGTCCGTGCGGTACGGCGACTGCGGGCTGCCGCAGGGGTTACACTACTATGCGGAGGCCGCATTACCGTCAATGCGGCATTTCAATCGATTTACTTATTGCTGACTATAAGGAATTCTATTAGGGATGACATCCAATCTAACGGCCCGCCCTCCGCCAGCTCGAACTCGTCCGTGCGGTACGGCGACTGCGGGCTGCCGCAGGGGTTAGCCTATCGCCGCCGCTCTACACTACTATGCGGAGGCCGCATTACCGTCAATGCGGCATTTCAATCGATTTACTTATTGCTGACTATAAGGAATTCTATTAGGGATGACATCCAATCTAACGGCCCGCCCTCCGCCAGCTCGAACTCGTCCGTGCGGTACGGCGACTGCGGGCTGCCGCAGGGGTTAGCCTATCGCCGCCGCTCTACACTACTATGCGGAGGCCGCATTACCGTCAATGCGGCATTTCAATCGATTTACTTATTGCTGACTATAAGGAATTCTATTAGGGATGACATCCAATCTAACGGCCCGCCCTCCGCCAGCTCGAACTCGTCCGTGCGGTACGGCGACTGCGGGCTGCCGCAGGGGTTAGCCTATCGCCGCCGCTCTACACTACTATGCGGAGGCCGCATTACCGTCAATGCGGCATTTCAATCGATTTACTTATTGCTGACTATAAGGAATTCTATTAGGGATGACATCCAATCTAACGGCCCGCCCTCCGCCAGCTCGAACTCGTCCGTGCGGTACGGCGACTGCGGGCTGCCGCAGGGGTTAGCCTATCGCCGCCGCTCTACACTACTATGCGGAGGCCGCATTACCGGCAATGCGGCATTTCAATCGATTTACTTATTGCTGACTATAAGGAATTCTATTAGGGATGACATCCAATCTAACGGCCCGCCCTCCGCCAGCTCGAACTCGTCCGTGCGGTACGGCGACTGCGGGCTGCCGCAGGGGTTAGCCTATCGCCGCCGCTCTACACTACTATGCGGAGGCCGCATTACCGTCAATGCGGCATTTCAATCGATTTACTTATTGCTGACTATAAGGAATTCTATTAGGGATGACATCCAATCTAACGGCCCGCCCTCCGCCAGCTCGAACTCGTCCGTGCGGTACGGCGACTGCGGGCTGCCGCAGGGGTTAGCCTATCGCCGCCGCCGCTCTACACTACTATGCGGAGGCCGCATTACCGTCAATGCGGCATTTCAATCGATTTACTTATTGCTGACTATAAGGAATTCTATTAGGGATGACATCCAATCTAACGGCCCGCCCTCCGCCAGCTCGAACTCGTCCGTGCGGTACGGCGACTGCGGGCTGCCGCAGGGGTTAGCCTATCGCCGCCGCTCTACACTACTATGCGGAGGCCGCATTACCGTCAATGCGGCATTTCAATCGATTTACTTATTGCTGACTATAAGGAATTCTATTAGGGATGACATCCAATCTAACGGCCCGCCCTCCGCCAGCTCGAACTCGTCCGTGCGGTACGGCGACTGCGGGCTGCCGCAGGGGTTAGCCTATCGCCGCCGCTCTACACTACTATGCGGAGGCCGCATTACCGTCAATGCGGCATTTCAATCGATTTACTTATTGCTGACTATAAGGAATTCTATTAGGGATGACATCCAATCTAACGGCCCGCCCTCCGCCAGCTCGAACTCGTCCGTGCGGTACGGCGACTGCGGGCTGCCGCAGGGGTTAGCCTATCGCCGCCGCTCTACACTACTATGCGGAGGCCGCATTACCGTCAATGCGGCATTTCAATCGATTTACTTATTGCTGACTATAAGGAATTCTATTAGGGATGACATCCAATCTAACGGCCCGCCCTCCGCCAGCTCGAACTCGTCCGTGCGGTACGGCGACTGCGGGCTGCCGCAGGGGTTAGCCTATCGCCGCCGCTCTACAAAACTATGCGGAGGCCGCATTACCGTCAATGCGGCCATTTCTATCGATATACTTATTGCTGACTATAAGGAATTCCATTAGGGATGATTTCCAATATAAGGGTGTAATAAGGGACGATTTCCAGTTTAAGTGCCGATTTTCTTCGTTCGGACACTAATATGTACAAGCTGCGTTCTGCGTCACTAATATGTACAAGCACGCGTTTGGCGGAAATAGGCAAAAAAGAGATGGCCAAGTGCTATTGAAGTCTTGTCTAGTTCGTAAAATCCGAATTTGTCAAAATAGAACAAGCCGGTAGGTATTAACTTTTCATCTAGGATAGCTCAGTATCCGGGCGATCGCTTTTAATTCTTTACTGTCAAGCAACATGAGCTCAAATCCCGGTGCTGGAAAATAAGTTGCAGACATCGCGCGCTCAGCGTTGAAGCAAAACTTTGCGAGAAAACGAATATAATATTTCGCAGACATGTAAGTCCGCCGTAACCCTTTGCTGTACAGAAGAGGCTGTCGCCCGGCAGTGGGACATGTATAATAATAATAATAATAAAATATCTTTATTCACATAGACGCTTGCGCGTTCTTATGAAACGTCAAAATTTTACAAGAAATTAACACGTTCGTAAGTTACCACCGGTTCGGAAAGCAGTTTCTGTTGAGAAGAAGCCGGCAAGAAACTCAACAGTTGCTCTTTTTTAAAAAAATCAGTTTACAATATAATAGTACAGGTACAATAGTCTTGTTTTAGCCTACGTGAGTATCAACAGTATTAACCCCACACATTGGCGTCGTCAAGATATTCGGCAATAGTATAATAGGCTTTAGCCATAAGTGTACTTTTAATTTTTCGTTTAAATTCATCAAGTGGCAGACTTAACATCGACTGTGGGATTTTATTATACATGCGCACACTTTGCCCCATGAATAGTATGGGTTGTTACTTTTTAGAACTCACTCCCTGAAGAAGTCCTTAGGGGGGTGGTCATCGCGGAAGCCGAGCAGCACCGTGTCTGGTTTCATGGCGCCCAGGCCCGACAGCCTCGTCAGCTGGGCGGCCCCGCTTCGCACCGACTCCGCCAAGCATAGCTCGACAAAAGCTTTCACCTGAAACCAGAACACCCTGTATCGTGCGCGACTTTGTCCGCCTGCATCACGTTGGAAATGAAATTTTGAAATCCACGCATAATTCTTAACTCTACAAATGGAATATAATTGTAGTTTTGCACTGAACTGCAACAAGGTTCATATTGACGTTCTAATACAATTTTAATTTCTCAAAGAAAGAAATTCTAGTAAGCCCAGAAAATCCCATAAGCATTATACATTATTGGTGCCGTCATCACGTTTATTATATCGTGATATCTCATCTCTCTCTAGTTTTGCAGAGACAAGATCTTTATTAATAACCCTAATGACCATCATTCGTTATAATGGCGTCTTATTTGGGTGTTAGTTAAACGTTTCGGCTATTTTTAGAGAGATCTTCGGAACAACCTGAAGGGTCCCAGACGTTGCCAACCTTGAAAAAGTGGTAGGTGGAGCACGATACTTCTATATTACTGTGGTAGGGCCACGCAACAGTGTTCGCTGTTGCACGAATGGGCAGCTCCGTCCGGGTTAGTACCACGACCTCACAAAAGACCGGCGTTTATTAAAAGTGTTGCACTTCTGCGTTTCGTCTGGTGAGTGAGACAGCCAGGGCGCACATTATTAAATGGTAGCAACGCATCTGCAACCCTACGGGTGTTGCAAATGTCCATCTGCGGCGATTATCACTTGACATCAGGTGAACCGCCAGCTCGTTTGCCATATTTTCACAAAAAAAACTCTGGTTTTCAAAAAAGGCGGTGACACTCCACGCGCAACTAAGTCCACTTTTGCTGCGGTAGGATAATGCTACCGCCAGCCCTGTAGTCCCGGGCTCATAGAATAGGGCTTAGGTATCCCCTGCCTGTGGTAAAAGGCGATTTAAGGAGACACGGATGGGCAGCAGCATGATGGTCTCACGCTGCTGCAAGAGGGCCAGGGAATCGGAGAAGGCTTATACTTCTACGAGGCGTGCTCAGGCGTTGTACCGAGGGACACCGGTGCGTTCCATGGGAGATCCCGGAGTCCCTCCAATTGTACGGAACGTGGCCACCCAGGGGGTTTTAGTGGGTAAGAACCCCACATAACTCTGTCAGGTAAGGTGACAGGGTATCGAAGATTTCCCAACCGGTACCAAAATAAAAAAAGGATGATGCTACCGCAGCTTGAATACGCAGCCATCACCACCACCGGCGCCGTTATCTTAGGGTGCCCACCGCTCACCTTCAGATGGTCGATGAGCTTGAGCCAGTACTTCTGCTCCGCCGCCAATGGGTCCCCGCTGCCGTCCAGCTGGCCGATCCTCACGTGCCCAATCACGAACAGCCCGCCCTGACAACAAAAATACATCATCTGTGAAAATCAACTGTCTTACTATCAGGGTTCATGAGATATAGCCTGGTGACAGACGGACAACTAGCGGAGTCTTAGTAATAGGGCACCGTTTTACCTCTGGGTACAGAACCCTAAAAACTAATGTATCAGTCTTTAAAATAGCCAATGACCGCTATGGATCCATGTGTTCCTCGTTCCTGTCTCTTATGCCTAAATGACTAACCAACGCTGTTTCTCATGTGGATCCCAAAGGATCCAGGTTTATATTATGGTCATAATACTAAATCATAATCGCATGACTCGTTGATGCCTTTGCTAAGCTATTGGCTACGGCGTCGGGGATCGTGGGTTCGATTCCCACACGGGACAAGTATTGGTGTCACAGATAATTGTTGTGGATCTGGGTGTTTTATTTCCTAAGGAGGGTGGAATGGTCAACCCAAATATATTCAAAACCGATTACAACATGATTCAAATGTTGTGCCGTTCCCACCTTGGTTGCACCAAGAATGTCAAGAGGGGTTAGGGATGTCAAAAATTATCGATATATCTATATTTTTGTATAAAACATCGATATTTTTAGCCTATATATTTTATAATCGGATATAACGATATAAAATATTCAATATCGAAATAGTATCAAAAACTATACATTTTTTCAAATTCAATCCGGGAAAGAGTCCGTACATTAAAATATTTAATACTTGGCATACGTTTTTTTTTGGGCAAACAAAGGGATTAAAAAGAAAATATCGATATATCGAGATCGATATTTTTTTAAAGTTTTTTATAGTGCTAATCTCTGCACTTAAGATTGAACATTAAACATGTAGAAAAAGTACGAAACGATTATCGCCGCTGTGGGAATCGAACCCACGTCTTCGGCATTCGCGGCCTGACGCTCTAGCCACTGAGCTAAACGGCTGATAGCCACAGCTGGAAAGAATATAACAATAGATGCGCCAAGCATTGCTTCAAATGCTAAATAACAATGTAGAAAGAAGGCGTTAAGATTTTCGTCGCTGTGGCTATCAGCCGTTTAGCTCAGTGGCTAGAGCGTCAGGCCGCGAATGCCGAAGACGTGGGTTCGATTCCCACAGCGGCGATAATCGTTTCGTACTTTTTCTACATGTTTAATAGAGATCGATATTGATATTTTAATAAATATCGATATATCGATATATTTTTTCACTTTCGGCATCCCTAGGTAGGATAAGGTCAGGAGGAAGAGTGGAGTGGCTAAATCATCCGGAGACCCAGGGATCCAAGCAGCTAGCAGAGTCAGGCACCTTCTTCTGGTCGTTGACGAAGTCGATGAGGGGCGCGGAGTGGCGCGGCGACGCCACCAGCAGCAGCATCTGCGGCCTCCAGAACTTGACGTGCTCCCTCCGCGGGTCCAGCAGCAGGAGGTACTTTCGCACCTGCAGGGGTACATCGCTTTTGAGGTTTCGATACCCGTTATGGGACAGTTCCTTACATAAATTATAGAAAGAACTTACATAGAAGTAAGAGTTATACAGGTTGGCTTTTTTAAAGGTGCCCAAATTTTAACAGGAGGTTCAGACACAGTCAAAGCCTCACCTGGCGGAAGACGAGCGCCCGGGCGAGGGCCAGATCCTCACCTGGTGAAAGATGAGCGCCTGGCCGAGGCTGCCCCAGGCGGGGTCCGCGGCGGCGGGCGAGAGCAGGTGCAGCGCCAGCAGCAGAGCGCTGCAGGCCAGCGCCGCGCCGCCAGCGTACGCCGGCCGCAGCGCGAACACCAGCGCGGCGCACCCGCACAGCCCCAGCAGCGCGCTCACCCACGAGAAGTACTTGAAGCGCGGCCTGGACCAGAAAGGACGGGGCTTCTTTTCTTTATTCAAGTGTCTAGGGACGGTAGGGCCACGCACGCCTCGGCTGTTGCACGAATGGGCAGGCTCGTCCGGGTAAGCACCACGACCTCACAGAAGACCGGCGTCAAGTGGAAGTATAATACTTTCGCGTTTCGTCCGGTGAGTGAGGTGGCCGGGGCCCAATTTTCAAAAGGTTGTCTGCAAACCCTCGGGTGTAGCAGATATCCATGGGCGGTGGTATTCACTTACCATCAGGTGAACCGTCTGCTCGCTTAGCATCTAGTCACATAATAAAAAAAGGACCACGCAACAGTCTTCGCCGTTGCACAAATAGGCAGGTCCATCCGGATATGTACCACGAGCTCACAGAAGATCGGCGAATTGGAAATACTTCTTCGGTTCGTCTGGTGAGTAAGGTAGCCGGGGGCCGCTTTGGCCCACCGCTAACATCATTGGTAGAACATAAAGGATCCACAGCTTTTAAGACCTATATTATACCATGTTCTAACAAATAAACGTATCTTTCCTTCTTTCTGCCACCAACGCCACCAACTTGCGAATCACACAAATATTTGCACAAACCATTACGCCAAAACTAATAATATCTAATAATCTGAGCCACCAAATCATAAAACATAAACTGTCCTAACAGGCTTATTGGAAAATTGAAAAGTATATTATTTAAATAATAATTTAAATTAAAAAAAAACAGTATTTATGTTTTATGATTACATCATCATTTCAGCCAGTTAAAGTCCACTGCTGAACATAGGCCTCACCCACAGACTGAGCGATTGATCCTGAGGGAACTGAATGCAAAAAACTTACTTATTAAAAAACTTACTACTTCCTAAATTAGTCTAAGCAGTTACGAGGTAACACACAAACACACAGTAATACAAAAGTTCAAGGTCACCTGAAGTTCGGCGCGGACGCAAGGTCGAGTCCCAGGCAGGCCAGATTGATGGCGAAGTAACTCGTCATGAATAGAACAGAGTTCACCTGTAGGACAAACATTCACATTTATTAAAACGACAAAAATATACAATTGTCAGATTACTTCTTCATTTTCAAAATTTCGATACAAATTTTGACAGTTCTAATTTTAGAATTACAGCTGATATAAAACAGGAAACGCATCGCAAAATCGCACATCCATCCTCCGAGTGTGGGATACCAATACTTATATTATAAATGCGAAAGTAACTATGTCTGTCTGTCTCGCTTTCACGCCAAAACTACTGAACCGATTTAAACGAAATTTGGTACACAGATAGTCTAGAGCCTAGAGAAAAGACATAGGCTATTTTTTAATTGGAAAAAAGTGTTGTAAAGGGTTGAAAGTATCTATCTTTGAATAATACATATAGTTTTTAAAGAAAGATATTACGAGTATTTAAGGGCGAGCGAAGCCGCGGGCGAAAAGCTAGTATCCAATATTTTCCGTATTGATATTTTTATATATGACATGGATATATTTCTTCACTTTCGACATCCTTACTCGCAAAGCGAAAGCATCAAAAATTGTGAATAATATCAAATGTTGCCATAAACATACGCAAGACGACAGCAAGTGTTGCCTGTTACAATAAAAAAAAAACAATAACCTGGGCGATGGCGTTCAGAGATCCGGCCATGATGCCGACCTGGACCAGGAGCCAGGAAGCCAGCACCGCCATCACCGGGTTGCCGTTGTTTGAAGCCATCGGCTTTAGGAGGAAGCCTGAGAAAGGAAGAGAAAGAAAATCGATAATAATATACATTCCCAAATTGTGGACGAAACTAGAACTGACTACATTACACGTTATAGGGATGTATTATATAAAAAACCTACTCACCGTATATGTTATCCTTGGCCAAAGCCTCCAGCACCCTCGAAGCTCCGATCAGGTTGGAAAGACCAGCAGAGAACGTCGCCATGAGCATACCTTGAAATAAAATAAATAAATTCTAATAATACTCAAAAAGCCACATACATTGTACTTGTACTTTGTGGTCAGTCCCAACGACCACTACAACATAGAAGAACTATCGTACTGGTCAGGATAGCATCCCGTGTTGTAAGGACGTTTTTGCATAATAGTCTTAAAGTCTTTACTTTGGTCTTTATACAATGGAAAGGATATAACAATGGATGCGCCAAGCATTGCCTCAAATACTAAAAAACAATGTAGATAAAATACGTTAAGATTTTCTTAGGTGTGGCAATCGGCCGTTTAGCTCAGTGGCTAGAGCGTCAGGCTGCGAATGCCCAAGACGTGGGTTCGATTCCCATAGCGGCGACAATATTTTCGTTTTCACTGTTTCACATTTATCGGTTGCATTTAATGCATAGTGCGAGCATTTCTTAGTTTGGGACTTTTCTTTTCCAAACGCCAAAGAATCAGATTGCTCGTGCCAGGATCGTGCTCCTTAGCAGCCTGCTGCGGCTGAAATGTTGATGATGACGAATGCACAGACACAGGGAAGCGGCTGCGCGGATTCCGATGCGATCCAAGCCGTACCGAGCGCGATGAAGGGCGGCCACACGTTGATGGGCAGCAGGTAGACGTAGTTGTTCTGCAGCAGGCCCCTGGAGCAGGTGGCGGCCGAGAGCAGGCTCAGCGCGCAGTACGAGAGCGCCGTGAAGAGCAGCGCCCACAGAGTGCCCGACGGGATGCTGCGAGATGGCTCCTTCAGCTCGCCTGGTGCCAAAAGTACGATAGTGTTGTGATAACTACCGCATATGGACAGTTGCAACACCCGTAGGATTGCAGATGCACTTTTCATTAACGTTGGCTGGTTGGTTACCCCGCTCACTGGAAAAGCATGCAGTGCTCGCTTTTCAAGCGACTTCAAAAAAGGAGGTTTATGTTTGTTACCTAGCTACGTCATTTATGAATCGATTTTAAAATTTCTTTCTGTATTGGATTAGCTTCCGTGTGGTTCCATATTAATTTCGTTCCGGAGATACTTCAGGGAGCTCCTTAAAATCAATTATAAAAAGAAATCCGAGCGAGATATTCAAAGTCGGTTTTGTTTTTCATTAATAAAAATGGATCTGTTAAACTAGCGAGTGAGGTAACCGTTAAGTCAAGTCTCCGTTAAGTCTACTAGTCCAAGGGCGGCCGTCCTCACCCGTCGAACATTCCCTAAAAGTTTGCGGTCTTCTTCAAGACCAGTAGCAGACCTAGCATTTCACAATCGCACATCGCGTCAGAACCAAAAATTTCATCCACACCACCTCGATATCCGGCGCGATTCTCGTGGCATTTCCTGCCTCGCACAATCAATATGTGGTACCAGCCGCTGGTGGTCTTTCCGAACCGTTGCGACGTAGGCTGTGATGGCTCAGTATCCGAACGCTAGTATACTCGAGCAACCTGAGTTCGTATGCCCTGATACCCTCTGTACTATGTAGAGGCTGTGTAGGGGCTTTTGCCCAGCAGTGGGATATGTATAGGGTGATACTTTACTTTTTTTACGACCTGTGAACCATCAAGAAGAGAGCATACTCTTTCCTTAAACGCAATTGCGAGCCCTCTGGTGTTGCAGATGTCCATGGGTGGCGGTGATCGCTTACCATCAGGTGATACTCCTGCTCGTAGCCACTTTTTCCCATAAAAAAATGGGACTTACTCGACTAGCAAGTGAGATGGCCAATGTGAGGGCCATCTGTTAAAGGTCTACTTGTCCAAGGGCGGCGGTCTTCACCCATCAGACGTGTAGGGGCACGTTTGTAGTTTTCCTTACCATGCATAACCAGCTCTTTGATCAATTAAATAAGAGTCTCGATCCTCATCAGTGAGGGAACGACTAAGGAGAGAGTGTATCATTATTTTTGACGACCCGAATGGCGTAGTGGGTAGTATACCTGCCTCCTGCGTCAGAGGGTGTGGGGTTCGATACCCACTACTGGAAAAATATTGTGTGATGAACATGGTGTTTTTCTAGTGTCTGGGTGTCTCTATATGTATAATATGTATTTATTTACAAAAGAAAAGTATTTTTTAAGTATGTTTATCAGTTTTCTAGTACTCATAGTACAAGCTTTGCTTAGTTTGGGACTAGAGAATGTTGTGTACAAATGTGTCCTAAATATTTACATTTATTTATTATTTTATAGTTTTGTGCGCATCCATTGTGCCCAGTGCCGTGATAGCTCAGTGTCCGGGCGCTCGCCTTTATTCAATATACTCGAGCAACCTGAGTTCGATCCCCGGTGCCGGCACCAATGAAGTTTTTAACTTTAAGTGCTGACTTATCACGTGCTCGTCGGTGAAGGAAAACATCGTGAGGAAAAAAAAATATTTTTCGAAGATATGTGAAGTCCGCCAATCCGCAGTGGGGCCGCGTGGTGGACTATGCCCCGATACCCTCTGTATAGAGGAGGCCTTTGCCCAGCAGTGGGACAGGTATAGGCTGTTACTTTCAGCTCAGAACGTTAACAAACGTTTCTCCTTCTCCCTTCCCCTTGTTCAGCACGCACCGCTCATGTTGGCGCCGGCCATGACGCCCGTCACCCCGGTGAAGAGCACGCCGAAGACCGAGGCGAAGTCCACCGGCTCGCCGTCGCCGGTGGTGTAGTCGCGCCCGTACTGCGGGTACAGGTTCGAACGCAGCGTCGCCCAACTCGGGCCGGTGTAGTTGAAGCCGGTCTCGTTCACCAGCCGGTTCGTGTCCGGCCTCTCTATCTGGGAACGGCGCACAGGCAAATGGTCATAGGAGATAGGTCATAGGCACTTCATTGTAAAAATGCTATTTTAAAGTACATCCCGCTGTAAAGTGTCCACACTAGATGGCGCCAGGCGTCTTTAAAAAATGCAATTAGGGAAGCGGATAAATGTCGACGTTTTCGCCCGTGGCTTAATCGATCCTGTAATCGGGGAAGTAACGACTTCACAGGAGACCGGCGGGAAATGGAGTCACAGTCCTGCATATCTTGTGAGTGAGGTAGCCGGGGTGGTGGAAACTGGGTAAATTTCATAGGTGAATGAATGCAATGTTTTAGTATCTGCGATAGAGCCTCTTTCTCTGCTCCACGAATAGTCAGGTGCGTCCGGGTAAGTACCAGGACCTCAGACCTCACAGAAGACCGGCGTGAAGTGTAAGTGTTATAACTACACGTATCGTCGCGTGAGTGAGGCAGCCGGGGCGTACTTAATCGATAGGTGTCGGCAAAGTTCATGGGCGGCATTATCACCAGATGTCCATGGGCGGGCGTCGCTCGAAGAGACGTTAAAGAGGCGCAGCTCACCTCCGAGGGCCCGGTGAGGAAGAAGCTGAGGAAGGCGCTGCCGAGGCAGACCAGCATGGTGAGCCAGATGGCGAGGCTGGTGCGCGCGAAGAGCGAGGCGCCGGCCAGCGACACCGCCAGCCCCGCGCCGTTCAGCGCCGACCGGTACAGGAAGCGGAACCACCAGCCGTCCGGCAGCCCGCCGCCGCCCACCAGGTAGCCTGGTGGCCAGGCGCCGGTTGTCAGGAGTATGTCAGAACTACCGCGTACTCACCCAAACCGATATTATTGAGAGGTGGCAACGCACCAGCAACCCTACGGGTGTTGCATGTCCATGGGCGGTGGTTAGCTCGACGTCAGGTGAGCCGCCAGCTCGCTTACCACCTTCTCACATAAAAGAAATCTTCACATTGAAGTGAAAACGAACGCCCGGGCAGAAGGCAATTTATACTGGTATTTCATTGCGAGATGATCCATGAAGACTTTTTTATATACCGCCGCAAAATTAAACAAACAATGAAAATAATTACGGTACGAGTATTATCTTTATATATATATATATATATATATATATATATATATATATTTCACACAAATAATTGTCCCGTGTGGGAATTGAACCCACGACCCCCAACGCCGAAGAAATATATATAATTTTTTTGTACGCGTGTATATCACCCATTGACATACATCAGTTCAGCCAGCCGTTTAGGCGGACCTAAACGGCTGGACCGATTTTTATTAAATTTTTGTGTATCTTCAGGTCGATTCGAGAATGGCTTGGGTTCACAATTCGGCCCACTACATTTTTATTTATCGAATTTAAGTCGTGTGTACAGGACGTCTGTCCGGTCCGCTAGTATATTATACTAGCTGCTTGGGCCTAATGTCCTGCTGATCATGACTGATTTCGCATTGAGGCTATCATCGCACAAGTGAACCAAACATAGTATTTTCAGGATACATTTTTACCACAAATTTTTCTAGTGCCAAACTAAGCAAAGCTTCTATGGACACGACGCAACTAATATCATCACAAGCCAAGGAAAGCTTGTATATACTATGGCATATAATATGCAACTAATGTCAATACCCTCCTGCCTTTACTGACATCGACCCTCCTTGAGGAAAATCACCCAGACCCGGAATAATTATCTGCGGGTCACACAAATACTCGTCCCGTGTGGGAATCGAACCCACGACCCCGACGCCGAAGCCAAAGCAATTGTGCCACCGATTCAATTGACATGCTTGAACATACTTTTATACTGTAAATAAACACGGACTTGTCCAGGTAAGTACAAGGGCTTCACAGAAGACCGGCATGCAGTGGAAATGTTATACTTTTGCATATCTTCTGCTGGGTGAGGTAACTGGGGTACTTTTTTAATGTTCGCAACGTACGATCATCACTTAACTTCAAGTGATAAGCCAGTTCGTTTGTCAACTGTGACATAAAATATACTATAATTGTATATTTATCTACTTGACAACAAACATTTGTATTTCTTTAAAATGTATATTTGTATAGATTATTTTATGTGTACATCGATGTTTATTTATTGTTATGATTATTTTAGTAAAATTTCTACACCACCTAGTTACCTAACATTACTATAGTTTCCTGTTCTGCTGGATGTGAACACTCTTTAGGGTTAAACTCGCCTTCGTACATGTTTTTTTGTCATTTGTCCCAACTGTATATTTTATATTGTGTGTACAACAAAGAAATCAAACAAAGTAACACATATAAACAACACGCATAAACGTGGCAAAGGATACAGTAAACCCCGCCGCCTTCGACGGCGCCGTTGGTAGATATGGCACATATCGATGTCACTGTGAAGAAGACTATGAGGTAGGCCAGACCGAACTGTGCCAGGGTCACCAGAAGACCAGCGTTGCCTATCAGGTACCCTGCAGATATAGCAACATACATCTTAACTGTACGTACACTATGTAACGACCTACTATAGTCAAAGTGCATTGTATGAACGTCCCATACCAATATCATATGGAAGTAAGGTCTAATGGATAAAAGTGATAATATGTGAAGGCTCAGAGAAAAAATAATAAATATATAAATATAATGAAGAGCAATGAATGACTTGGGACTTTATAAGACATATTACTATGGAGTTGCGTGGTACTTCTGTACGACGATATGGTCTACGGTAAACGTGGAACCATGAATGGATATGTCTTCAGTGGTGGACATATCATCGATAGCTGGTGGTAGTTGGCGTCTTAGTGACCATCACTATGATACGTTGGCTGTCATTCGGCATAGTAAGAGTTTGGTGGTAGTTGGCGTCTTAGTGTGTTGCACTATGATACGTCGACTGATCATCTGACTTTGGGGAGTCTGGTGGTGGCTTGCGTCTTAGTGTATTCCACTATGATACGTTGGCTATTATTTGACTGGGGTGGGGGTCCGTTGGTGGTTGGCGTCTTAGTGTTTACGCTATGATACGTCGACTATCATTCGGATCGTGAAAGAGTATGTTTGGACACTTCGTGTGTCCCAGTATATTCTAAACTTTGGAGCCGAAGTTGATTGGAGTTATATTGGTGTGGTGTGAGGGTGTGTCACCTACGCGATAGTCACATTGATGCATGCGGCTATATGCAGTACTGCGTCTTGTGGAAGTTGCGGGGTGATCTGCGCCCAATATCATTGCATCGTATGATTCTGGTTGACGGAGGTTCGAGGTGATGATGTCTGCTGTGTATGCGGATAGGCTGTATGTTGGCGTGTTGACCTGCGATAGTTGTATTGATGCATGTTGCATTTAGTGACATTGCGTCTTGCGACATTTGCTTGGGAGACGACGCTATTCATAATGGCCGAGTCTGCGTCTCGGTTTGATGCACATCTCAGTAGATTTGTCCAAGTCGGGTTCCTGATGACGGAACTGCAGACTGTCTGTCCTCCTTATACGTTTTAACATGATTAACGAATCTCAGTAAAGTTCCCACCGTTCGAACGAATAATGGCAACTTGCTGGTGGGTGAGACAAACTTGATCGAAACTACACTATACTCAACGTCAGAGACACTGACAAATAAATATATGTTGCCAATTATAAACCCTTCTGATGGCTAAACATAAAAATCACAACTATGGCTATATCTGACTATTTCAATGGTTGGTGGAGCATATGCGTTTACCTCATGTGGATGGTAGCTGGCGGGAGAAAATCGCTCAAGGCTGCGGCGATGCCGTGCAACGTTTTAACCATACCCTTGGGGTGAGCAGTGACTCATAACGCGCTCTGCGACGAAATGTCGTGCTAACCTTTTTAATGGTGGTGATGCCAAAACACTAACAATCACGTCTGCAGTCGCGGCGATCTGGCAAAAGTGGTGGCGCTTACGGAGGGCTTATTATATCATAGGGCCAGAGTGCCTGATCTTTAACACATGCCCAAAACCGTATTGACGTACATTCACGAAGACTGGATTTGTCGTCGGCTTGTATGACGTTTACACGCATTGACATGCGCGACTTCGGTCAAAGTTTGTGCTTACGCACTGCCAAGGGGCCAAGCCCTCTTTATGCTGGTAAAACAGCTTTGCAATGGACTTCGGTCCTTTCCCCAACTTTTTGTCCCTCTTCTGGGGGGGGGGGGGCGCAATATGTTGGTTGGCGCTCACCGCACACGGCGTTGGTGAGTGTTTTCATGGAGCCGTGTGCCTTCCCTACATTTTTTTTAAATGTGGGGGAGCTGTTGACTTGTATCGGGTATGTAAAATTGATGTGAGCCCTTTTCAAGAGAGGAGGGATATTATTTTGAAAATATATTGTGAGCCCTTTACAAGCGTGAGAGGGAGTATACTATATACTCTGAGCCCGTCTCAAGCGAGTCGGGATTAGTTAATAAGAAAGCAATCTGACATTATCTCTGGCTTATACCACAACTAGTGAATATTTATCTATCCAAGATACACCTAAAAGAATCAAGTTACTAATTAAACACAACGTAAATGAGGTCCTACCGAATATGACGATCACAATAATATTTTATACGGCTAATTATTACCTTTAGAAAGATCCTATAGAAAGATCAATAAATTATCCTGGTCACGTAATGATGTTATATGATTTATTCATATAACGGGGAAAAAATATATAAGTTATAATTATATATACACAATAAAAGGGGGGGTGCGAGTTACAACTAGTATCGATGAAAAAAAAAGAGGAAACAAAAAAAGACCGCAGAGTTTCTTGCCGGTTCTCCTTTGGTCAGGTCTAGTTTAGTGAGCCGGTGGTAGTTTTTTGTACTTTCAATAAGGAATTCAATTAAGGCCATATTGATTAAAGAAATTTCGACTTTCGCTTTTAATTATAAGACATGCCACATTAAATTTTTAGTAGTTCCAATGCAAAATGGACATCCGTAATTTTTTTTAAACCGCAAATTAAACATACAATATAAATAAATAACATTTTACGGTGGCCCGTATTAACAATTTAATTAAGAAACAAAACATCAGAAACAAAACATTTGTACGCTGGAAAGGATATAACAATGGATGCGCCAAGCATTGCTTCAAATGCTAAAAAGCAATGTAGATAAAACACGTTAAGGTTTTCGTCGGTGTGGCAATCAGCCGTTTAGCTTAGTGGCTAAAGTGTCACTCCGCGAATTCCGAAGACGTGCATTCGATTCCCACACCGGCGACCAATCTTTTCGTACTTTTTCTACATATATTAATTTTAACAAAACATCTCATTCTGTTATCAGTTTGGAACTATTTACCTGTCTAACGAGAAGGCCTCCGCCCGACTGCGGGACATACACCCTTTACTACCTTCTCTTACAAAGCCAGGACTCACCCATTCTAATGAATATCAGGGCACTGAACATCGACAGCACGACAGGACAGAACACACCGGCGAAAGTGCCCACTTTCTTGATACCCGGCGCCTCCGTCCTGAATTCACCAAACTCCACATATCCTACCGAAAAAATACACATCAACTTATATTTTTAACCGACTTCAAAAAAGGAGGAGGTTTCTCAATTCCACCGTACACATTTTTATTTTTTTTATGTGTGCTCGCGGATAACTTCGTCGTTTATGAGCCGATTTTGATGATTCTTTTTTTGTCGGAAAGGTGATATCCCAAGGTTGGTAAGGAAACCCGGATCTGACGATGGCATCCCAGGGAAATCGAGGGCAATCATTGAATGCTATATTTATTAACAACGTTTTTAATTTTCTGATTGAAGTCGGTTTTTTTTTTTTTTGTTCAAAACTATACTTCTTCAAGTTATACTGCTTTTGAGGCGTTTGGGAAAAACGATGAGTGGGAATTTTTACGATTTTCGACGCATGAAAGCGGCACCGACTTCTTGACGTTTCTCTACAGCGTGAAATCACGAGCATCCTTTTAAACTAAGACCATATATTCATATATAGTATATATGAATATATGGTATAGTAGTATATCTAGGGCTATGAAGCAATAAGGCCGCCAAATTGTGCATTCCATTAATTTGTTTGACTATTGTTAACTTTTTTGTATCCTTTTATGTGTGGTGGACAATAAAGTGTGCATTCATTCATTCATTCACCATGTATAATTCCAAAAACACAGTTGCGTTAGATTTAGATGACTCCATGGCGCAGTTGCCTTAGTTTTTTAAATATTCATTTTTATATAGCATTTGCGAAAGTGTTGTTTGCCAAAGAGGAAGTACAATAGATGGCGCCAATAATTGCTAAAAATACGATAAAAAAAAAACAAATAAGTCAAGACGACAAAAACATAGACGTAGAGAGATATTCTTCAGGCGTTGTGAATATCGACCGCTTAATTCAGTAATAAGGCCGTCAGGGCCGCAGGTTCGAATCCAGGCAATGGAAAAAGATTTGGTAAATGTAAATAACTTTAACTCTGGCGTAATTCAATTAAAATAAATTTTAAACGATAGAGAAAAATCACTAATGAATTTATCAACAAGCAGAATTCGGCGGTCGCTTATAGTTTTCGAAAAAATAAATAATGAAATAGTGTGATTTTTACTATAGAAATCCGCCATTTTTTTGTTGTCAATAAGTCAATTCTGCTCGTATTTCTTGGTGGTCATAAAAAATAAAAACCTAACCTTCTGACCTAATCTTTCCGAGTCGGATTCGCTCTGTGTCGGTTCTGTGACTCATTAAATTTAAAAAAATTCGGACTATCGATACGAGTATGATGTCGCCGTTGTCGCCCGCTTCCTATATTTATCATGTTGGCAGAACTGTGTAATGAGTTTTTGAAGTCAAATAAATAAAATGGTGGATTTCTTAGTAAAAATAACAAGTTTTAAATATTTTTTTCTCGAAAACATGCGACCGCCGAATTCTGCTTGTTGATTAATTCATTAGAGATTTTTCTCTATCGTTTAAAATTTATTTTAATTGAATTACGCCAGAGTTAAAGTTATTTACATTTGCCAAAGATTTTCCTACAATTAATTTACACATATAAATATAAAAACGGTGCAATGACGTGATAAAATCCATAAAATATTTTTGTTCAGTAGATGTTAAATGCAATTAACACGCTGCATAAAACTCAGATATGTATAATATGTAGATCATTTTTTTTTAATTAGTTTGATCCATCTTAGTTAACTATTTTTTGGTCGTAAAAGTTTGTCATACGGAACATGCAAATGCCGAAGCCAAGCTAACACATGTAATAAAGAAACCAATCAGTTGGAACCAAAATACCCTTGGGCTAAAGATACGTAACATAAGCGACTTGAGCTATCAACTCTAATTATAATAGCCCACATAACTGCGTGCAAGTGCAGAAACCATTAGAATAAAACACACTTTAGTTCTGAAACATGAACTATCTCATAATGAAAAAATATAATACTGTAATCAATCACATATACTATAAATGTCACTTTGCAATTTATGCATGATTAGAAACTAAAAAAAAATTAGAAAAAAAAAACACGAAATAAACAAACACTAAAATCAATCACCTTCCACACACTTCTCAGCCATTGCGAACAAATCAACCGCCAAGTTCAAACTGATAATGTATTGAATGACCAATTCGCAGACTACAATGTCTTTACCTCAACCTTGTTTACAGCAATTTACTCCCACTGATTACGTGTGAATAGATAGCTATGTTGTAACAATTGTTTACATAAAATAGTGGCAATAGCAACTGGATTTGTTTTCAATATATTAGTACAAATAATTTTCACGTGCGGTTTTTCAATAACAAACAGTCAATTTTTACAGGATAGATGTTATGATCTTGAACCAACTTTTCATCAAGTTTCATTCATTGAAATTCGTTCAGCTTTTCCGCATGAAGTAAAAATAACATGCACACATCCGCATTCCACTACAAAATTAACCAATGATTAATCGAATTTAATAATTATTTAATTGTAGATTCAGTGGTCTTACTTACGAAATTACGTATTAATTTTTTTGTAAAATTTCGACGTTTCATAGGAACGCGCAAGCGTTTATTTGAATAAAAATATTTTGAAAACCAGATAAATTGTGGAAAAATTTTCGCCCAGGATTCGAGCTTATGTCGCCCACACTTTCTAACCACTAAGTTAAACGTTCAATATACTCTCTCTCGTAAACCAAACAACGTCTCAAAATCTCGACGTCTTATCTAATTTATTTTAATTGCTTTCTTTACAGACAACATAGTGTACAACATTAAATTTCTTTTACACTTCTCTCTGGACACTGAGCCATCACGGTTCCTTATTCTTCTTATCAATTATAATTTGCCCATTTTTTACTTATATTACTGAACAACTACTCTTTTACTTATTAATTTAAATACTAGTAATTATGATTACTGCTGGCAGGAACGAATATTTATCAGATAAGAGTAAGGAAGTAGACATATTGTTTCCAAAAACAAATTTCAATTCAAGAAAATTAACTGAAAATTAATTCCAGGATACCTTCTCCAGGCGGCCTCTGAGGTGGTGATCTGGTGAACCGCATCCGCAGCTTGTGTATGACTCCAACCGGCACACGGGTACTGTTGATCCCGGGGGAGAGGGGGTCCAGAGTATCAGCCATCCTGGTCGGCTTCGTCGCTGAAATACGGACATCGTAATACTGTCAATGCATAAAATAAATTTAAGATAATTGCTTGACATGGTTTTGGAGATTTAAAGAGTCAATTTAAAGAGTCAGTGTGACTTATTCAGTTTTAGTCTCTTCACTGAAAGCTCGAAGCATCCAAGCTCACAGATTTGATCTTATTAAATTAAATATATACTATGTGCAAAAACAATAGAAACCTATTATATTTCTATAATAGGTTACTATTGTTTATTTTAAACCTATTATGTTTTATAGCATAGGGGGCGTTATACTACAAAGTAAGCAAGTTGACACAACCAAATTTAATCGCCCAATTTGTTTCTGCTCTTTATTATTTTTGCTGAAGTTTACTATATGACTATTCTTTATTGAATGTAATGTTAAGAAAAGGTGAAATTTTATTAAGTATGTATTTTTCATGGAACATTAAAGAGTTAAGAATTACGCTCATTTATTGTGATTTTGCAAACAACCTACAAAAACAGATGCATTTTACAAACTGTCGCAAAAACATTTGTTAAATCACATGCACCGCATGTATATGTCGCAATAAAAATAGCTCACAAATTTCATTTCATTTCTCTTTACACGACAATAACAAAAAATCCCTGTTGAATATGACATCACACTCCCACAATTACTGCAGAGATATCTCTTATCGCTAGAAGAGCACAACAACAAAATATTTACAAAATTTAATTAAATTACAACTATACAATGAAACAATTATTTCATATTTTATTCACTTACAATTACCAACGTAATGTCATAGAAGTTGATGATAGCTTTTAAGAAAAATTATCTCAATTAAAAGAAAAGAATAATGTACAGCTTATGTTTTTATACAAAAAAATTTGAAACTTACTATTATTTATACCTTTGAGAATATCATTTCTCACACAAAAAGAAAACATTAAACATGTCTTATAACAATAGCATTTATAAGTTGGAAAATAAGGTTAATAACTTTCAACACACACTTACTTAAATATATATCACCCATCACATATATTGAGCTGCTCCGCCACAATAACTATGTGTAACTGAGTGGAAACACAAGTTTAATTACAATAAATTACCCACAACTGCTAGTTAGATAATGATTTAAGTAGAACAGACAAGATTACACTTAATACATCTGTTTTATCCATACATGTATTTAGAATAAATAAAATAGGGTGCAACAACTTATAACTTTTTTAACATTTGTATTGTTTCCTTTTTTTTCTATGATTTTGAGATCTTTAAATCATTAGTATGTAATAATTTGGAAAACACTTTATTATGATAATGATTTTTTTATTTGCAAGCAGTGTAAATTGACGTGGCTGCCTACACATTTCCTACATGGCTGCAGTGTGTGTAGTGATCTACTGTGTTGCACGAAATTGTTCATATGTACGTAGAAACAAGCATATTACAGCATGAACTTTTCCTTCACTCACAGAGATGAAACTTGTAAAAAACTTCACTTCTTATTTACAATATAAGGATGAATTCAATATATCCTACCTTTTACTGTTTGCGCGATGCAAATAGCATCTATCAAATAGCAGTTATGATTTTCTTTCAATTCATTGGTGTAATTCTACGAATACTTTAAATTCAACCAAGTTCTAGGACAGAACAGGGGAGAACACCTGTGTATGTGAGAAAGCTCTAAGTCCATTTAAACACTGTTAATATGGAACCATGTGGAGCAGGATAAATACTAACTCTGCAAAGCTTTAAAGTGGCCTCTTTTTGATAAATACTATGAAATGATTCCACTCCTTCTCTGTGTTTCACATTGCATATATTGAGGCTAAGCTCTCTACTCAAATACAGGGAATTATTACAAAAAGAATTGGCTAAAACTTCTCCTTTGTAGGTTGAAGTCACAAACAAGTTCAGGTTTTATTTTCATAATCTCCTTATAAATTTTAAACAAGAATTACCTCCTCAAATTTATTAGACAAGTGATGCCTTTAATTGTATGGGTATTTTTTCGTAACAATTATATTACCATTTTTATGTAAAAAGTAGACAAGCAAGCAGGCTGCTAACTTGGTGTTTTGTGATTACCACAACGCATTATCGCCAACAACACCTGACAGACTGCAAATGCATCGCCAACAATTAAAAATAAGACATGCATTGATAAGGGAAACCATCTAAAGTTGTAAATAGTATCATTAAAACTATATATACATAGTTTTAGATTGGTATGACTCATACAATTTTTCGTGTTTTTGTAACTGGGTCATGACACAACAACTGCTATTTGATACAACAATGGTCAACAAGATTTAAATTTAATAAAGTCTGGTCTTTTTAAAATTTCAGCATTTAATATGGTACTCACAAATTTAAAAATCCTTTTGAATAGAAATTCATTAATTTTAGTTGAAAACCAATGAATTGGAATTAATTATAAAAAAAAGAACAATACAATATGCTACCACTTATTTAAATATGAAAATGAAATGATATAATTAATTTCCATAGTGTTAATCTTTGATAATAGTACGGTCTAAATTCACGGCGAATTGTTTAAAAAACATTGACGGTGGGACTTCCTTGTAATGCATTATGCATCATACTGTTATAACTGTTTATACGGAATAAGAAAATCTTTTGTTATTTTAATTGAGTTAATCTCACCTTATAGAAAATTTCACAATGTATTGTAACAATACTAAAACACGATGCTAATTTAAATTCATATCAGAGTTTTTTGTTTTGGTCAGCAAAGACTAATGAAAACAGAAAAACCAAAAATCTATGTCAAGGGAATTAACAAAATTACAAAAACATTTGCATTGACACTTGACAGCTGCCAAAAGTATAGACTTTTTTCTTTATTTTATGGCCCAGTATCGAAGATCTTTAAGCCAAATTATATAGGACTAGCTGCCCGCCCCGGCTTCGCACGGGTATTTATCAAAATTTTTAAAACTAAAAATGATCATACACATAAAATATTCCGAATATTTCGTCTTTGGTGAATAATCGTCTTGACCGATATTTAATGAGCCAATGTCTTGATTTAAAGCGTCTCTAAGATGAATGTTTCACCAGCCATCAGTCTCTGGTGATTACGACATCATATGTAATTCAATCTTTATGATATCTTTTTGCCATCATATCGACAATGTATTGAATAAAAACCGGCCAAGTGCGAGTCAGACTCGCACACGATGGGTTCCGTACCGACCTCACAGAAGATCGGCGTCAAATAGAAGTTTTATACTTCTACGTTTCGTCTGGTGAGAGAGGTAGCCGGGGCCCACTTTATTTACAAGATAGCAACTCATTTGCAACCCTTCAGGTGTTATAAATGTCCATGGGCGGCGGTTATTACTTAACATCAGGTGAACCGCCAGCTCGTTTGCCACTCTATCACTCCATCACCATTAAAAAAATCATGTTTTATTATCTTTATTCAAAATAGAAGTATTACACTTACATATTGTCAAAAACACTACTACTGTCAACATTATTATCACTTATTTATATTTTTTTGTTTTTTAGTATATGTTGTTATAGCGGCAACAGAAATACATCGTTTGTGAAAATATCAACTGTCTAACTGTCACGATTCATGAAATACAACCTGACATATTGACAGACATACGGACATACAGACGGACAGCGGAGTCTTAGTAATGGGTGCCGTTTTACCCTATGGGTACGGAACCCTAGTAAGTCCCAGTAATAATGCAATGGCTTAAAACAGGTAGCCCTAACCATCAACCTAAATGCATACAATTGCATGCATCACAGTTTTGTTACGCACTGTACCTTGCTGAGGAATAGTCAAATAATAACCGTCTTCTCCCATTACAACGATTAAGGGATATTGTAGTGGATCATGCAATCGGTGTAACTCAGAGACCCTTTTAAGTTGGCCGTGTCTACCGTGCAGCACTATATCTCTGGGGCCATTTTATGGTTCGGTACCCAAACGGTAAAATGGGACTCTATTACTAAGACTCCGCTGTCTGTTTGTCCCTCTGTCAACAGGCTGTATCTCATGAACCGTGATAGTTACACAGTTGAAATTTGATCTGGGTGTTTGTTTCCCAAGGAGTTTTAACATCAGGCAGGCGGCTGGTTGTAAAAATATGGCCAAAACCGCCTACAACATGATTCATATTGTTCCGACGCCACCTAGGTGGGATAGGGGCAGGAAGATGATGATGACTTGTATACTAGTCCCTCTATTTTAAAAGTTCGCGTCAAACAAAGTCATTTGAAAGAGGCTATTGTACTTTCGGATGTTGGTTAAAAATGTTCAGATGGTGAATGATTTTTCAAAAGATTTTTTATTGGCTGTGGCGGCTCCTCAATATTGGGGAGACTAACTTTTCCAGAAGCACAGCACATACCATTTGATTCATCGACCCATTTTTAGGCAGAACACTGAGCAGATCTTATTCATGGCTTCGAATTGGACAGAAGACTGTTGAGCATAATGCAAAAAAGCTGATCTGTTACTCTAAGCTAAAACTCGATTACGAACTCTAGTCGTTGACATTTGTTGTCTTTCTCTCTAATCTCGTCGGCGTTGGAAACGCTCAGAGCTCTATTCCCTAGTGTGAATTTTTATATTTTTATTATTTTGCTCTTCAAGCCACTGCAACCACTCTACTTGACTCTCTCCGACTTGTAAGACGATTTTCAGTTTCCGGTAAAGATTCTTCATTACGACGTATTTTTAATGCCCTCGCTTGTGAACGAACCTATTTCTAGAAAGATGAGATTTTGATCTTTGGGCATTTTAAAATGATGTTGAACAGAAATTACCACTAAAAATGTGATTGTAGAATTATAAGAAGTACTAAGTCAGTCACTAAGCTGTTTGGATAGTTAAATAATTTTAACAATTATCAATATACTAACATTTTTAAACTTGTGATATCTTTCGAATGAAATGGCCGAATTTGATAATTCAAAAAGTTATATAAAGATATTGAAACAGTCTTAAATAAGAAGTAATTTTTTTATAAGGATTAATACCAAGATACAAATAAAGAGCTTTTTCTAGCGGCGGCATTTCAATAAAAAATTTAAAATAAAAGAACACTGATTGCGGCATAACAATAATAGACATATGCTGTCGCGACACTTTTTGTAAATAATAATGTGTTCTGCAAAGTCGTAGTACATTATTTTATTCTATCACCAATAGTTTTCGCAGCACACGCGATGTAAAGACTATTCTAGGTAATTTTTGTACACCTTGAGTAACATTATTGGAGTTTTAGTAAGGATCCCTAATTCTTTGAAAATATAATATAGCCTATATCAAGCAGGGATAATGTAGTTTCTCAACAGTGAAAGAATTTTTTAAATCGGTTCAGTAGTTTCGGAGCCTATTCAATACATACAAACAATCAAATCTTTCCTCTTTACTCGTATATAATAGTATAGATTTCTGAAGACGATAAGATACGTGTTTTATATGTAAGTGTAATTTGCGATTATCTTGACAGCTTCGTTGGAAGAGGCCTGTAAATGAATAATTTTTTAATGTAATGAATGATTTTTTATGTGTTTGTATAAAGTGGGTCCCGGGTACCTGACGCACCAGACGAAACACAGAAGTGTAACACTTTCACTTCACACCAGTCTTTTGTAAGGTCATGGTACTTATCCTAACCGCATGGACTTGCCCATAGTGCAACAGAGGCCTGTTGCGTGGCCATTAAATAAAGGCTTATAATAAACATCTCCAGAAAATGTAAGGACTAGGAGGAAAATAAAACAAAATAGTTGAAAACTTACATTTACTTAAATCACAAGTTAAAGTCAACTTACAAATGCTCACCAAAAAGGGCACAAATTGGTAGTCAAAGTTAAAATCTAAACATGTAACTATATGGAAAATAACCTTTATCTGTTTAAACTTAAGAATGATTTATATTTAAGTTTTTAATATTCTATCAAATATTTGCAAACTTAATTTTTTATACTTGTGTTATTAACTTATTAACTTGCAATATGAATAAACATAGTTGATCTTGAAAGTTTAAGCACACATACATTGCCATACAGTTATATGCTAGATTTAAGTTTGGTTTAACTTACTACCTACATGGAATTAAAACTATATTCTATCTAAGGATTCTAACATTATTATGCTGTTTCCTCTGATTACCTGGAAAAAAATAAAATAATATCATAAAAGATATCCATTTTAGGTAAGTTTAAATAAAGTATAAAATATAGAACTATAATATATCCATCCTATTAAGAATTTAAAACTTAACAATTTTTTACACTTTAGAGCCCTTTAAGATAAGTTAAAAATAAAAATGTTATGTGTATTGAATAATTATGTTATTTGTATAAAATATGAACAATAAAGATAAAGAGCATATATTGTCATGATCAAATACTTCAAATGAAGAATCTTAGAGTGTAATTCATTTATAATATCCGTAGTTGTAACGACTTTTTAGCTGTTGTGATGTTATACTTATTTATTTTGATTTTACTGTGTAATGGTGATTCTATGGTCATCTATTTGCCTAATAGTGAGTAATTCAGATGTAACCCCGATTTCCAGTAGTGCAACTGATTTAAATGAACCATTTTTCACAACTTCCTCGAAATGCCATGCATATTTTGTAACAAACTCTATAAACACAAAACCAGAAAATGAATTTTTTGGAAGCAAAATATGGAATGCTGAAATTACAGGTTTATTTTCAAATCAATACCTGTAAGAACATTGTTAAAAATATATAGGTGGGAAGAAGTCAAAAGATAGAATCACATACATTTGCTTATTGCTATAACTAGGGCTGGAGAAAAACTGAAATTATTGGTTATGGCATGTGCGAGAAAACCAAGCTGTTTCAATAACAAAAGGGTTTTACCTGTTGATTATGAGGAGAATAAAAGAACCTAAATAACATCAGAGAAAAAGATCATTTTATTTATTGACAATTGTCCAGCTCATCCACAAGATGGTTTGACCGATATAAAATTTCTAAATAAACAAATTCTACCAAAAAATACCACAAGCGAATCAGCCCATTTAACAAGAACCTATTACTTTTGTATTTAGCAACTCTCGAAAATAGCAATGGAATTATAGTGACCACTATTTTATCGTTTGGTTTATATTTGTGATTTGGAAAGGAGCTTGTTGCTACCTCATAGTTCTTAATATCAAGTACTTATTGACAAATGTATATTTCGTAAATATTGTAAGTAAATATATATTTTTTACTTCAATGAATAAATGATTTGATTGTACATCAAAATGAAAAAAAATCATGATTATTTCAATTTACATGTTTAAACTAAAAAATATTTAATAATTTTGTTAAGTGAATACAACACCTGAGGGCCTACAGATGCATTGGAAACCTTTAAAAGAGTGGGCCCCGGTTAAATAACTCACGGTAAAAATTCCGAACAGTACGTCTCGTTTTTCAAGCTAGAAAAAAATTTTTATCGATAGAGAAATGTTAATAATTAATATTACATACATAAAAACCAAGTCAAACACTTACTTTTAATAAAAAAAAATATTTAAAACTTGTTATTTTCACTAAATAAATCTGCCATTTTGTGTTTGACATGTATAAATTTACGAATTCACACACTTTTCCAAATTATAACCTTCGCATTATTAAAAGAGTTTTTAAAAATACTAAAAGTACTGTTACACTAAAGTTTTCTGGGTGGTCATAAAAAAAGAACCTAACAACGAAACCTTCTAACCTAACCTATCCGAGTCGGATCGCTCTGTGTCGGATCTGTGACTCATTTTGAACCTAATATTCGAGACATTAAGTGTACACTAAGTTACAAATTTTAAATTTTAGAAATTGTTAATAATATATGTTCATGGAGTAGAAACTTGTGTTTTTGTGATATATCTGTGTATTTGTGTCTTCTTACAACGTAAAAAGTGAAAACGTAAGTTTTTAACTTAAAATAATAATCTATAATGAATAATGGACGCACAGTAATGACGGATTTCAGTTGTATGAAATTTAAAAACTTTGTTAATTTTTTCCTCATAAACTAGTGGTTTTCATTGATTATAACATATAATATTTAGTTATTAACATTTCTCTATAGATTAAAATTTTTTTCTAGCTTGAAAAACGAGACGTACTATTCGGAATATTAGCCGTACTCTGAAGCAGCCAGCTTTAATACGCCGGGAAAACCTATTGTATGTTATGCATGACTTGTATTAGAGTTTGATTTACTTAGATAATACATACCACCATTCCAATATTGTTTCTTTGTCCATCTTTACACTCTTCTACGGACTCATCTAAAACAAGGTTCATGAATGGGTCGAAACCTCGTAACACGCCGGTGACAGCACGCCCAGCGTTTAGTTTAATGGAAAGTTTTTTATCCATAAACCTAGCAGATATAAATTAACATTATAAAAATTAGTTTAAGCTACTACAATGCATAATTAAGATTTTTTCCAGGTGTTTTACAATGAAGAAAAATTTAAAGGTTAACCTGAACAATTTGTGCCACCAATTCAGAATAGGACCAAATTAAGACGAAATTATAAATTATTCTTACTTTTTTAATTCAGGTGGGTGAGCTTTCGACATTTTAACAAAATATAAATTCTTCGAGATAAATTATATTTTTATCACTTGTAAAACTTCTTGTTACACTAATTATAATTTACAATTCTAAACGACGCTACTCGCCACTGCGGCTGCCACAGAGTACATAACTGCTAGGGATGAGGCGTATATACTGGAACAGGTATAAATACCCAGTATGAACATACCAGTACGCACACCGGGTATGTACGGCAGAGGCCCGTTCCATACCCGATAGGTATGGCCACCTCGTCCGACGGTGGCGGTATATACGCTCGCGACAACCCGGCCGCACACCGGGTATGACGTATGTACGGCAGAGGCCCGTTCCATACCCGCACCGATAGGTATGGCTATGGCCGCCTCGTCCGACGGGGGCGGTATATACGCTCGCGACAACCCGCCGGCCGAATAGGTACGAAGTTCCCCGAACGCTTACGGCGGCTCTTCCCGATCATGCCCGAATTGAAACGTATGATTTAGGCATTTTATACCAAATAATTCCTTGAGATAAATTTATTCTTTGTTTCTATGACCATAAGTTAAATAAATATTTTAATTAGTTAAATTGATTATTGAATGGATTAATTGATTATTAAATTAATTAATAAAAAAATTGAATTACTTTTTTTTGATACTAGGGTTCTTTGCGTTAGTAAAGATTGAGCTTATTTTAGACTGATTAAATCTCAATAAAAAAAACTGTTTGCTAAAAAAAACATTTAAATGTTCCAATTCCAACCAAAGGTTCAATTCGTTTGATTCGACCGCGTCTCCAAAAGGAGGCCTGAACATAACTAATACCTATAGGTATTTTGATACTGGGTTTTAGCACCGGGTATACGGCGATACCCGTACCTTTGAGGCCGGGTATAGAATGTTGCAGGTATATCTCATGCCTAATAACTGCTGCTGACTTCTATGTAATATTGTCTATGTACGTTGTCTGTGGTACCGACTGATCAGTAAAGATATAATTTAATTAATATAAATTAATATGAATTTATTTAATAAAAAATAATTATTACCGAATAACAATCACAGAAATGTAAAATAGTGAAATTTTCTGTATACTCTTAAAATGATGATATATGCAGTAATAAAGTCACTTTAAAACAAAAATAATAACGGATATAATTATAATTTATTCTACACTAAACGGTTCGAAATTATTTGCTTTATAAATTTTATTGTTTTGATTTCTTTTGATAGATAAATCAAAATAGATCAGAATACAAAAAAATTTAATTATTTAGGTCTTTTAGTGTTACCTGTTTTTATTAAGTTTAGGAACGACTACTTCGAATATAGCAAAGAAATGAAAACAAAATGAATAAAATAGGAATCAATTTATAATCTGAAAAAATTACTGAAATTTTTTTTTAAACAAGATTTAAAATAATTTCATGATTTAAAATGTATAATATTGCCATTGCAAAAATCTTTCAACTTACAACTAGACAACTCTAATGAGTAGTCTGTTATTGTCAGCTGTTAGTTGTGCGGATGATCTGTATGTAATTTTGTAGTAGTATAAATGTCATTAATATAGTACGTAGATTTGACTATGATAGCAATCAACAATAGCAACAAGTAGACAGCTCTGAGAATGGATGCTGCGAAGATACTCATCCTGTTCACATATAAAAAGCCACGTTTTGTTTTCTAAATATGTATCTAAATATTTTTATGTAACATACGACAGTGGAAAAGGTAGTGTTTGTGTATATATACTAAAATGGATGAATCCGGTATTGATATGGGGTTCGATCTCGCCTCCTTTTTGACAAACGACTATCAAGTTGACCATATTTTGGATGAAATGACAGCAGCCCAGCACCAGGACTTCATGTACTACGAGCTGAAGTCGAAAGCAGTGCCTGTAACAGAAAGGTAAGTGCTGACTTAAATTTCTGAGTGTTAGACGTTAGTGGTATTAACCTTAGAAGCTTTCACAACCAGGTTCCAATAGAGAGTTGCCTCAACAACCACGGGATTTTATTTTATAATAATTTATTACGAATATTTTTAGCCCATATACGCAAATGAGGATTAATTTCACCAAAGCTAAAGCGCTCGCGACCTTGAAAACTCGACTTGGCAAAGCCCCCAGTTTTGCTATGTTTATGGCCATTCTCTGAAGTCGAAACGAAATAAATCGCGAGCATTCCAGTCTGTATTTATGTGCGTGAAGTCACTTTCTCAATTCGTTAAGACTCAATGCTGCAGTTCTTGCTTATAAGGAAAAAAGCCGTGATAATCTCACTATTCCCAAAATTAAAAAAAAATTCCCGCCCAAATTATAATCGCGAAATATTATGAAATTTGTTTAGGAGGAACGCCTCTTTTACTCTTTTTCTCAATTTTATCGACTGGAAAATAAAGAAGATACGTCAATATTGTGGAATTTAGCGACTACTTTCAAAATTGACCCCGTTTTGTTAATTCAAAGCATCGCGAGGAATTTGTAGATCTTTAAACGTAGTACTACTAGATTTATTTCATAAATTATCGATTCGTATTTCATTACGTAATTTATCTATTTGTTTATATTTTTTATGTAATGCAACGACAATATAATTTAGAGTTTCGCAAAATTTAAGAAAGTTACACGTGTATCTTACAAAACAATGTGTCTTAAAATGTATACCCTTATATCGTGATATAAGTCTCTTTATAGACATAATAATATATTATTTTTCGGTACGCCATAGCTTGCATAATTCTTTTTGATTGATTGATGACCCGATTGTCGTAGTGGGTAGTGAGCCTGCCTCTTGCGCTAGAGGGTGTATGTTCGATCCCCACAACTCGAAAAATATTGTGAGCATAGTGTTTTTCCATTGTCTGGGTGTTTATATATTTATAATATCTATTTATTTGCAAAAGAAAAATGTGTTTTGTCAGTTATCTAATACCCATAGTATAAGCGTTGCTTAGTTTGGGACTAGAGAACGTTTTCTCTTTATGTGAAAAGTTGCCTAACGAGCAGACGGTTCACCTGATGGTAAGTGAATACCGCCGCCCATAGACATCTGCTACACCCGAGGGTTACAGATGCGTTGACAACCTTTTGAAAATTGGGCTCCAGCTACCTCACTCACCAGACGAAACGCGAAAGTATTTGTCATACTTCCACTTTAGGCTGGTTTTCTGTGAGGTCGTGGTACTTACCCGGACGGGCCTGCCCATTCGTGCAACAGCCGAGGCTGCTGCGTGGCCCTACCACCGTGAAAGTGTAAGTTGTGTAAAGCTGTGTCTTAAATAGTTATTTATTTATGTTTAATGATTGAAACACTATTTAAATCTTATGTTTGCCGTTATTGATGAAAAATAGACATTTAGAATAATAATGTTTTCAGCTGAAGACGATTTCATAATACGATTGGCTCGACCTTGCTTTTATAAATACTTCATCATCATCATCATCAGCCACAAGACGTTTACTGTTGAACATAGGCCTCCCCGTTAAAACGCCGCAACGAACGGCACTTTGCCATTTGCATCCACCGGTTGCCCGCGACACTTACTATGTCTTCGGTCCACCTAGGGGGAGGCCTTCCAAACTATTCTATTATACATATGAACCTTCCTCTTGAATCACTCTATCTATTAAAAAAAATCCACATCAAGATCCGTTGCGTAGTTTTAAAGATCAAGCATACATATGGACAGACAGACAGCGGGACGACTTTGTTTTATATTATGTAGTGATATCATATCATAGATTCTTATTTGCAAATAATTATATTGCCATTAATTATGTTTCTGGTCACAATTGAAACATCCTAATAATAAATCGTTTAAAATATTTCTAAGTTATGTGAAGACCGCCAATCCCCAAAGGGGTCGTGTGAACAAATACCCTCTTACAGAGGTGGCCTATGCCCCCAGCAGTGGGACTTATATAGGCCGTTACTTTACATCGTTTTAATACAATGTTTTAATTTACTCATACATTTTTGTAATTGTCAAGGGGATTAACATTGTTGCGGATTAAAAATCAATGGTTAAGGCTCTTTTTGGTTCAGTCTGTGGTGGGGGCAGTCTTCGCTGCTGCACGAATGGGCAATTCAGTCCAGAAGTACCACGACCTCACAGAATACCGGCGAAACGTGAAAGCATACGCGTTTCACCTGGTGAGTGAGATAGCCGGGGCCCATTTTTTTAAGGGCATTGCATCTTCAACCCTACGAGTGTTAAAAATGACTGTGGGCGGCGATTATCACTTAACATCAGGCGAACCATCAGCTTACAAGCCACCTTTTCACAAAAAAAAAAACTTAGGATTTTTTCGCGTATAAAGTCTGGAATCCGTTACATGGTTCATAATCACGGGACAGACTGATATGACTTAAAATGCACTGCTATCATCATCATCATTTCAGCCTGTTTGAGTCCACCGCTGAACATAGGCTTCTCCCATAGACTGCCATGAAGTACGATCCTGAGCCAACTGCATCCATCGACTTCCCGCACATTTGCACAGGTCGTCATTCCATCTAGTGGGGGGTCGTCCCACACTACGATGGCCAGTACGAGGCTGCCACTCGGGAACATTTCTTCCCCAATGGTTATCGGTTCTACGAGCTATATGGCCGGCCCATCGCCACTTCAGCTTGCTAATCCTCTGAGCTATGTCGGTTACCTTAGTTCTACTGCGGATGTCTTCGTTACGAACTCTATCACGCAGAGAAATTAAGAGCATAGCTCGCTCCATAGCTCGCTGAGCGACTTTGAGCTTCCTCATACGGCCAGCAGTGAAGGACCACGTCTCGGTTCCGTAGGTCATCACTGGCAACACACATTGATTGAAGACTTTAGTCTTCAAACATTGAGGTATATTCGACGAGAAGATTTGCCGTAGTTTCCCGAACGCTGCCCATCCGAGTTGGATTCGCCGATTGACCTCTGCGTCGAAGTTGGACTTACCTAGCCGGACTAACTGTCCTAGGTAAACGTACTCGTCAACAACTTCGAGCTCAGTGCTCCCAACAACAACTGGTATTGGCGTGACATGGACATTAGACATGATCTTCGTCTTGTCCATGTTCATCTTAAGGCCCACCCGTTGGGAGACACTGTTGAGGTCATTGAGCATAGTACCAAGGTCCTCCAGCGATTCTGCCATGATGACTATATCGTCGGCAAATCGAAGGTGGGTGATGTATTCGCCATTGATGTTAATACCTCTAAAAACTGCTATAATCAGTTTTAATTTAATTACGTGTATTATTACGCCTAGACTCAATTTATCAAGAATCCTTGTTTATATTGTTTCTATCTTATACACGATTTATCATTTACTTTAAGGCTTATATGTGATATTTTCATTACGAGATTTCCTTTATGGTGTTGATACTTGCGTCATGTACATGTCATGATGCGCAGTCCGATGGTCGCAACTGTGTAAGACAACGCCATTATTTGGCGGGAAACTGCCTTGCGACTTTAGTCATGAAGCCTCCATTTAAACGCTGGGCTCTGTACTTCACTAATCGAAAGCATGCACTATGCTGCGTTATACTATAAATAGTGTAATCTTTATATATTACAATTTAGCTTCCGTATGTTTCTGTCCAAAAAACTCAAAAACTTGCCCATTGATTGACTTGATATTTGTTCAAAACATTGCTATTGACCAGGAGTGTATTAGTATATAAAATATTTTTATTAATATGTTCCGTTAATTTTTTTATTCACGTTCACGTTTTCTGATGCTATTGCCTGACATATTTTCTTTTTTTTATTGAAACGCAGAATGGAGCCGAAGGCAAAATAAAGATTCTCCCAACTTAATTCATCAATGGATGCTATTGTTCTATTGTAGTAATATGTCAAATTACTGCCCATTAAGCATTTAGTCTTATATATTGTATATTTAAAAGAAATTTAAATTGCAAATCCTTTTAGATAAATGAACAAAAACTTTCAGCGCTGAGGGATTCGAACCCGAGTCCTTTGGTTTCGCGCCCAGACGCTTTACCAACTAAGCCAAGCGGCCGATTAAAAGAAATAAACATGGTGGATATTCATTTGTTTTCTCGTTTGGTTGGGTTTATAAATAAAAATAAAAATATAAATAATATAATAACATTATACAAATAACAAATAACTAGCATTTAAGTCTGGAAAACACTATGTAGGTAACTAGCATTAAGTCTAAAACAATGTATTAAAGGAGATAAACATTATTGCTACTGTTATAATTGTCACATAAAAAATACTCATTAGGGTTTGATGTATTTATTTGATAAATCAGTAGTTGATTTTGCTATAATAGCAATTGATTGATGTTTAATTTTTCTTATTACTAAATTATATCTGATCGGTAAAATATCAATAATATTATCGTCGCAAATCGACCGATCAGAAGAAGATAGATTAGGCGATAGATTATCTAATGTTGTATTTATATTTATCCTTACCAATATTAAGCGTATTTTTGTAAGGTAAAAGGTTAAAAATGCTATTCCGTTCAGCGTTCTGCCTTTTGCATTGCCTTCAGTAATTTGACAAACAGAGCTGTCATCTTTTCCCGCTCGTTTGCAGCTTTGTACATAACACGGATAGTAGGCTCTACTAATTTTGAGTGAAGTCAAATTAAGCTCAGTCGATAGGAGAGTAACAAGCGAAATAAAAGTAGCAAACTGTCTACGTAAGGAACACGGGCTGAATGCATTTTGGCGTACTTCATGGTATAGTAGTAATAGTCATTTCTAGAATCTATATAGGATTCCTATTATAGGAGTGCAATGATGCCGAGAACTACCACTGGTAAACATTGATGACTCCGTGGCGCAGTTGCCAAGGTATTGGCTTCGGTGTCTGGGGGTCGTGGGTTCGATTCCCACACGGGACAACTATTTGTGCGACCCACAGATAGATGTTTCGCATCTGGGTATTTGTCCTCGTGCAATTTATGTTTGTAAAACGTCCTTACAACACAGCATAATGTTATCCTAAAGTAAGGGCAATGTTTTTTTATAAATAATAAGAAAAAAAAAAAAGAAACTAAGTTAGATCTGTCCCGACCAGGAAATACTAGAAAATGAGCTGTCAAGTAATTCACTCATCTTTAGTATTACACTGCCCTTATTCCGCCTAGATGGGGTCGGCACAACATTTTGTAGAAAAA